TCTGAGGGACATCAAAACCCCCAACCAACACCTAACGAATCGCTCGCTCCACACTTTTTACCGCCGCATCCCTCACCTCACTCTCTGGAAGTCCTGTTCCGTTTCCCTACATCGTCGTACATCGTACGAATGCCGTTTAAATTCACACAGCATTTAATGTTCGTCCTAGTGCGTTACACTACCAAGCCAGCGCCTTTCCTTTCCCTCCCCCCCCGGCCTTGTTGCAATCCAGTGACCCATGTGCTGCTGCTGCTGCAGCTGTTCCCAACGCCTTTGTTGGGGAATCGCGATTTTGCAGTTGTTCGGAACAGAAGCCGTTGTTCGGTGTTGCCGGTGGTTGTTCCCGCAGGTGGTACGATGTCGTTAGGGCGCCCAGGCGAACACACTAACCACGACGGTGACATCATCCACACTGCCCTGGTCGAGCGCCAGGCGGAGCAGCCGGCGGGCGGCGGCCTTGGCGGCGGAGGCGCGGTTGGCGGACGGTGACGACATCCGCGAGTACTTCACCACAGCGGCGGCGGCAGTGGTGGTGGTGGTGGTGGTTGACAGAGGGGACCAGGTTGGGTTCGTTGCCGTTCACCGTTAAGTGGTGGTTAAAGTGGTGGTTATAGTGGTAGTTATAGTGGTGGTTATAGTGTGGATAGCAGCTACAGCAGGGGCAACAGCTGGGGCTAAACAGCACTTGTAACTTGTAACGAAATCAGGTTCGCAGGTGCAGGTGCAGGTGCAGGTGCAGGTGCGGGGAGGGGAGGGGAGGGGAGGGGAGGAGGACTGCCTTTGAATACAGGGAATGCGGGAGCGCGGCGGAAGCCTCCGTGTAGCCACAGGCCCTCCTCCCCCCCCAATACACACACACACCCTCCAACCCAACCACCCCACCCCCGGCCTGTTAAGAACGGTGGGGGGGCCCGCCCCCACGGAGGCCGCGGTGTCGATCAACGGCTTTTGCACAGCGATAGAAGTTGTCGTATTTGACATATCCCTCCGAATTCTCTTCACCTCTCTCTCCCAACTGGTGGGCCTCTCCCTCCCTCCCTCCCGCCTCCTGCCCTCCCCCCCTTCCTCTGCCCCTCCATCCCTCCCTCCCTCCCTCCCTCACGCCTCCTGCCCTCCCCCCCTTCCTCTGCCCCTCCCTCCCTCCCTCCCTCCCTCCCCCCCCTCCCGCCTCCTGCCCTCACCCCCTTTCCCTCCCTCCCTCCCCCCCCTCCCGCCTCCTGCCCTCCCCCCCTTCCTCTGCCCCTCCCTCCCTCCCTCCCTCCCTCCCTCCCGCCTCCTGCCCTCCTCACCTCCCCCAGCACCTCCCTCACACAGTCCACCGCCTCCTGGTCGCCCACTCGCCCCCACAGACCGTCACTCGCGGCGATCAGGAACTGGTCCTCCCCGGGAAGCAGCGGGACCACGGACACGTCGGGGTCGCTGATCAGGAGGCCGCTGGCCTGGGGGGGGGAGGGGGGTGTAGGGGTGTGTGGAGGGGTGTGTGTGGCGGGGTGTGGGGGAAAAGACGAACCACAGGCGAGTGAAGCTGATATCAACCAGGAACACGGAATAAGGGGGGGGGACATACATACATGGAAACAAGGAGGCCGCTGTCGCACCTTGAAGTCGGGATCCCCCAGCGATCGTGACACGGAGAGCGCCTGCGGGCGGTTAGGTGGCGGGTAGGCTCATTTTCCATGTAGCGGACGACAAATTGCCGCGTGTATGTATGTATGTATGTATGTATGTATGTATGTATGTATGTATGTATGTATGTATGTACAAGACCCTTGCCTCCCCCCTTTCCCCCCCCCGACCCGGCCCCAGCTCTCCGGCACACACACACGCACACACACCTGCATGACGTCCGTACGTCCCGCCAGCGGCACCAACACACGTGCTGCCCCCCTCGCCACCACCACCCGACCCCCCGCCGCCTCGATGCGCTCCCGCTCGGCTCGCAACCCCGGGGTATGGTCGCGCGACAGCCGTACAGCCTGCAACCCACGAGTGTACGGCCATGCGTACGGGTGTGTACGGACGCACGAGTTAAGACGTAATCATTCATGGCTCCAAAATACACAACTGTGTGTGTCTGTGTGTGGGGGAGAAAGCATGTGTACGACTCCTGAGGCAAACGGGAGGGGGGAAGGGAGGGTCGTGACACGTGCGTCTTGGGAAGGGGGTTGGGTGGGTGAGTGGGGAAGTAAATAGGAATTGTACCGGAATGCCGTACTTTGAACAGGCTGCCGTACAGAAACACGTGTCAATGTCGCAGCTGCCCAAGTTATGCACACGACTACTCCCTCCCCCCTCTTGACTCATTCGCACGTTGTTCCGTTCCGCCCGATTAAATCGCTCTACACCGTTCCCCTTCCCCCCTAACCTCCCCCCCTAACCTCCCCCCCTAACCTCCCCCCCTAACCTCCCCCCCCCAAAACCTCCCGAACACAGAAATTACAGTCACCCCGCCGTACCCCCCCCAGCCCCCCAAACCCCACACACATACGCACCCACCTGGCCTCCCCTGCACAGTACGGCACGGCTGTCACCCGCATTGGCAACCGCCAACAAACCGCCCAACTGGAGGGTGACCAGGGCTGTCGTACCGTCGTGGAAGTCACCCTTGCCGTTAGTATTAACACCGTTGGAAAAGCCGTTGATAATACCGTTGGGGGAGTGCAAGACGCCAACGGCGGATGGCGACGCCGAGGACGACAAAGTGGACGAGCAGCAACTGCTGGAGGGGAAAGCGGCTGTAGCAGCCGGCGGGTCGGCAGCAGCAGCTGCAGCTAGGGAGAGCAGCTCCGAATCGACACGGCTGCGGGGTGAGCGGGTTTTGGGATCCCGGGAGGTTGGGGTGTGTGTGTATTGGGCTTGAGCTTGCGTGCCAGCCACCTGGGTGTGCACCTCGCAAGAGTGGATATTCATACACGCTAAGGCGCGCGTGTGTGTGTATGTGCTTGGCTGTGGCGAGGTAAAAAGACATGTTCTTGATGTTGTTGTTGTTGTTGTTGTGTTGCTGTTGTTCTCTCGCTCCCTTCTCCTGTAACGCCCGCGGGAAGTCACTTCTCTCGCCCCTCCCCCCCTCTTTTCCCCTTTCCCCAACACATACATACATACATACACATCACAGATTTAGGGTTTTAGTTCCTCACCGGAATACGCCCCTCAGGCTCTCCTCAGTGGCCTCCACATCGCCATTGCCTGTGAGGCAGTAGCATCGCCGTCGTCGGCGTAATAGTAGTCAGCAGTAGTTAGTAGCAGTAGTAGCAGTTGAAGCAGTGGGGGAGGGCGGGGGGAAGAAGGTCCAACCCAAAGGGGTGTGTGTGGGCGGGGGGGGGGGGAAGGCAGTGGGGAAGTTTGAGGGATGGAAAAAGGAGGAGGGGGAAGTAACTTGAAGGGAAACCACAACACCACTCCCACGACTTTTACATTACACGATTTAGTATTATTATCGTTGTTGTTGTTGTTGTTGTTGTTGCTGCTGCTGCTGCTGATGATGATGATGTTGATGATTGCGATGATGATGACGGTGGTGAATCACCCCCCTCTGCATGTTGAACCCTCTCCTCCCCTCCTCCTCCCCCCCCCACCCCCCTATCTCACCAAGAGCTTGGTGGAGCTCGCGGTCGTTGGCGACGTACGACAACACGGCCTGCTGGGCGTAGCGAGCCGACATCTCCCCGCTGTGGGAGCGTGAGCACGTGTATGTAAATGTATGTGGTGGAGGGGGTGGAGGAGAGGTGACAGACGGTGAGCTTATGGGGGAAGATGAACTTGGGGGGGGGGGAGGAGGAGGAGGGAAGCCGGGAGATTCGGACGGAAATTGAGAGAGGGTGAGAGAGAGAGAAAGAGAGAGAGAGAGGAACGACAGGCGGACAAAGGGGGAGCTAGGTGTTAAGGAGCGACATCCTTCGCGAGCTAGAAGGGAACTCTTGTCCTAGGGCTGAAAAGGGATTTTGTGCCTGTCGTTGTTACAGATAGTAAACATTTGTATTTTAAAGCAAGAGGGACGAGATCAGATGGCGCGCTGGCAAGCTCGCGCCGCACATATACACGGCCATGGCACTTACCCATGGCCGTCAAACACGCCGGTGACAACGATGGACGAGGGCGCGCCGGCTGCAGTAGTGCTGGACACAACACCAGTGCCGTTATCAGAAGTACTGCAAGCCGCTGCGCTACCGTAACCATTGCCAGAGAAGTCGCCGAAAGCTTCGGGCACGTGTCCAATGCAACCGTCGCCAGCGCAGTCCGTCCAAGAAGTTTGGCTACAGTAATATCCGCCCTCAAAAGCTATATCTTCAGCCGCAACGTAATAGTCTTGGCTACGCTCCTTCAGTAAACCAGTCACCTGCAATTCGATGCCGGTGACGTCGGAAAAGACGTCAAGGTTAAAAAGAGCCTGTGCGACCCGCTAGTGTGATAATTCATAAAATCCTTTGGATGATGCAAATTAATCCGCCTTACATCACCGCACCTGTGCACTGCCCGTGTGCGTTGCTAGGGGGCCGGGTGGATGAAGGGGACGCATGAACTGCGAGCGGCTATATAGCGGTGCACCATGTCCAAGGGACGTTGAAGGCACCGCCGCGGGGCACTGTGGCTTGGACGATACTACAGTGGGTTCACCCAAAAATGTTCGCACATGACCCGAACGCCCACAGAGGTAACAGCACCGCAGCAGGCTTGCATCAAAATCCCACCTATCACATTTCGAGGTACCAGGATATGCCACCTGCACCGCCTGAGCTCCAGGCAAACGAGAGCTCGCTTGTGCACAACATGACCGTTGAAGCTACTTGACACCATGGTCTACTTTCAGTGCATGAACCAAAAACATCGTATCTTATCATATTCAAAACTTGTATGCACTTCAATGAGCCTTGTCAACCAACGAGCAGAGCGACTGTGTGCCCGCCGTACTCACGGAACCGTCTGTCTGCGCCTCCGGGACCATATTCCGCATTTAATCACCAAGTAATTTGGAGTTTTATTTCTCAGGTGACGATCAATACGTTTATCCTCTGCGCAGTCCTGGCAGGAGTGCCCTGCGCTCTAGCTTCCAGCGGTTCCGAAACCATTTTTTTAACGACTCACACAGGAAAAGACAACTAGAATGTCCATGCTGCTTTTTCCACCTTCTTTTTAATCTGCCGTCCACCTCGGCATTTTCCAACACACGCAAACGGTTCGCGTGACCCAACATCCTCCTGAGGTTTAACGTTGCAGCAGGCCTGATGTATAGAGAAACCGTTGCAGACCCGCTGTACATGCAAGTGCAAAGACTCCAAAATCTCCCACAAACGTGTACTGCCGCCATAGGCCATGGCCTGTAGGACCGGACCCCCTGGCACTCCAGGCAATGGACCCCACTTGTGTTGCCAGGCTCCCACCAGAGGGAGGTTGTGGTCCTGTCGATGGCTCCATAGCTGATGTCATCTGAGTCCTGCGACCCAGGCACTGGCTGTTGCAGCTGCACAGGGGCACCTACCGTGCAGGTCGGGCGCATGGCTGCAGGTACACCACATGCCGGCTGCCCAGACACAGGTGCAGCCACCTGTCATGGATTGAACACCGTATGGGGGGGCTGGGAATATGGCTGGGAAATGGGTTGGTGAGCAATGCAAGGGCATTCCCGAACCCCAAGCACTCATGCACTGTAGCTCACCGCCAGTCCGCAGTTGGTCAAGGCGTTGGGATAGAAGCCGCGATGGCAGCTCTCACACATGCCATTTGGTGACTCCTCCCATTTTGCACCGGGTAGCTCCTGGGCATCCCACCCACCAGAAGCCCGGGCGCATGTGCGGCGCACGACACAGTTGGCGGTGTCTCACTGCCGCTCCTCCTCTGTCATGTCAGCACGTCGCTGCTGCTCACGGGCTGCTGCTGCACCTGCAACTGTTGCAGTAGGACCGCACCTGGATATTCGCTGCTGCCTGCTGCCGAAAGTAATCCTCTACTGCGTGGTGCAGAGGAGCAAGCCCGTGGTACTCCCCGCTGCAGCCAGCATTGTTGTCCGTCTCCCTGACGCCCAGGCGCTCGCCGCCAGCTGAGCCCTGGTCGTACCAGGGTGTCTGAACGGCGCAATGCTGTGCACATCATGCAACCCTGGGGGCGTCGGGTTCCATAGGGACGGCAGCTGAAGCCAGAGGTTGTGTCCTGGCGACTGGGCACCGGAGCTGTGATGAGGCAGCTGCAGCTGTGCAGCCGGCCGAGCAGCCAGCTCCACCATCACCGCCTCTGCAGGGCACTCGGTCTCTCTCTGGTGGAGATTTTAGGCATGGCGCATTCACAGCGCAGTTGCTTTTTGGCATGTCGGCAAGAGATATCGACTTCTGAATACGCACGTGTTTGTGTTTGTATCAGAAATGTCCCGAAATATAAATATATATTCCGTCGCACAGTCACCGGCGGATTCGTGAGCACCACTGGCGGCGCCACGCGAATCGCGTCCATCCCGGGTGCATGGACATGCCGCATGGACAGTACGGCAGACCGCAAACGGAGCCGTTGCTTAACATACGAAGTCCGGTGCTGTCTGCGATGTTTAGGTCTTGAAGCACCAGCGGCTACGGGAAAGCACCCCACTGCCGCATGGCTTTGTAATAATTAAACAGATAAGTAAGAGCGGCAGAGTGCAACTCTTCGGAGGCCCCGTGCATTGGCCAAAGTAAATGTACAAACAAGCAGCTTGTGTAGTTCATAGAAAAATGAAAGCAAATTTGTTGGCCTGCTGGTGGCAAGTCGGATTGCCCGTGCGGGCAAAGGGTAACACAAGCTGGGTGTTCGAGTTATGATACGCCGTAATCTCAGAATTGCATAATGAGATACGCGGCACCTTTTGAGATGAAATTTAGCCCGAGAGGCGTTGATGTGACTTTGTGCTCAGTCAATTGAGGCAGCCAAAGTTGTTTGTGCTCATACGGTCTTTGTTGGCTACAGGCGAGATACCTTGCAATAGAGAATGCAATATATTACCAATAACGCGTTTCAGCCGGGTGAAACACACACGGCCACACAGACATGGACAATCCTGCAGGTCGGGGTCCCCCTGGGCGCTTCGCGCCGGGGCCCCGCCCCAAAACGTGCCGGGCGGGGGAGAAATTTCCATGAAATGAAATTACGTTTTTACTCCCGATCGAGGTTAGACACGCAGTTCAGCGAGTTTGGCTGCTAAGGGCAAGTAGTGTACGGCAGAGTGGGAGAGCAGAACTTCTAAGGCCATGCTTGAGACGCACGCAGCGTGTGACGCATTTTATGTTTGTACGAAGTAGTTGTGATGCGATGGATGTCCGCGAAATGTGCATAACTATTTTGGCTGAAGATGCCCCCCCCCTGTAGCTGTCTGGCTACTTTTCTCTGTCGGAGGTCCGCTGGGGAGACCAGGAGGCTGCACACCGAGCGATCAGGCGCATCGTCAACGTCAACCTCCCCCCCTTCCCTAACTCTGCGCCACGCAATATGATGGCCAGTGATCATCCATGGCCAGTGATTTTTTTTTCATTTAGGGGGGGTCTCAATTTATTCCGACCTAAGTAACAAAGTTGCTAGCGTCGCGTAATGTATTCCTTAAGAGTGGGGCGCTGGGGGGNNCCACGCCCCCAGACCCCCCCGATAAGTTACAACTCCCCTCATAGACCAAGAGGCACGCACTGCGTTGGCGCGTTTTCGTTCATGTGCTCACTCTTCATGCACATGCATAGATAGTTCTGGCACTGTTTGTGAACAAAAAGTAAATCCGCGTAAATGCGCTGTGTCTGAGCCCGCTTGGCACTGCGAGCGCTCGGGTTGGGCGCCTCGCCGCATTCGTTGTTGTCGAGCTGATTGGGTGACAGCTTGCGCTTATGCTGATCACAACCGCCATGGAAGGCAGGGGTAATGGCGCCCGTGTCATCGGTCGCCGCTGGCAGCAACACCATTGCCGATGCATTACCGACAACAGCACCGCCGTCCCAAACGCCTTTATCAGGAAAAATTTCAGGCTTATCTTGCTGTTTTGGTGTTTGTTCGGCGTTCAAGTCGTTGCCTTTTGCGTGTTTGGCTATGTAAGGACCGATCATACATTCCGCTATGCCGCGCTGACTCACGGGCTTGACCTTCTTACGGCCCCTCATATCTATTCTATGATCGATAATACTAAGTTCTGCACACTACGGAGCAATCTGGCAGCAATGGACGTTTTTGGCTGGAGGAATGAAAATGTACGGATCGGCCTCAATTTGTTCCTTATTTCCAAAGGCCAAAATGGCCTCTTTATTCCTTAAAAGGAATATATTACTTAAAAAAAACACTGTCCATGGCCCCCCTCAACCCCACCGGCTTTACGGATGGGGGCCCGCCCCCATATGCCGCACTTGTGATGGGAAGGATCTGGAACTTGTTATTCAACACACTCTTTTCGCTTTTTGACCTCAGGAAAAGTCAATCAGCATCACGAAAGTGGCAACCCCCCCCCCAAACCCTCAGAACTGCCAACCGCTAGCCTCCTCCCCTCCCCCCCCCCCACAACCCCCATCTCGCCACGTGTACGACTTGTACGGCTTATACACTGATGATTTCACCCTTCACCCCAAAATTCATTCAGCCATTCCCGACCCCACAGAGCGAACATGACATCCATCTCCACACAATATCCAAACCTGTGTCCCTTTTGTCCACATTTGTGTGTCCCTGTCCATTTGGCCTTTCCCCCCATCATCCCAAAAGCGTGTGGTGTGGTGTGTATGTATGTATGTATGTATGCGCCGCCTGCAACCCACATTGATCGACCTCTTATCTCACTCTCGCGCACCTGCCTGATGCGTGTGCACCGCCGCCGCCAGCGCTGCGGGAAGGCAAGGGCGAAAATCCCCCAGCCTCCTCCTCCTCCTCCTCCTCCTCCTCCCCCCCCCTCTCGCGACGTATATCATATGCAACAATTTTGAACTTAATCATCACCGCCTAATCACCACCACCACCACCACCACCACCAGGTTAATATACACACATTCATTCCCACCTGCATGTCTGCCGTACAGAACGTCGCACAATGTCCGTACTACCCGTTCTGCTTAATATTCATCTCATTCACCTCGGTAGTGCACCTAAGTATAGGACCGACCCAAGGACCGACGAGGCAGCGCGATGACACCCCCACCTAGCCACATAATCATCTGAGACCCCACACATATTAGCTACTTCATAATTTAGAGAGCAACAAAGAGGGAGGGCAAGATTATTATTAAAAGCAATTCGCGGTTCAAAATGTACGGCGCTTGTACGGTGCATTACTAACCTCGTATACAAGCCTTATATGGTCAAATATGAGCGCTGCATGTGACACGCACCAAACGCCCCCCAAAAAACACCCTTTCCCCCTCAAAACAACCTCCCCCTCCCCCGCCCAAAAACACACAGCACATTATTGTAATTACTTTATATCGACTACACGCACACACTGCTGCAAATGGCGCGACAATCACCCAATCCAACCCGGCACCCGCATGGCCGCTGTCCCGGACGGACGCCTCTTCACACCTTCTTCACACCTTCCTAATGCACCTCTTTTTTTTACCGTTTTGGTGATGTCGGTCCATCGTTCGTTCGCTCCGTAGTGTGATGTAAGTTCCGGCCCCCTCGGGGTCGTGTATGTGTGTAAGCGTGTGTGTGTGTGTGTGAGGGGGGGGAGTTTGACCCTTGGGAGCACGGACACATACACACACACCTACCTACCTACCTCGACCTGCTAGTCTTTCTTCCCCCTTTCACCCTCGCAACACCGCTTCCTCCCCCACCCCCTTTCCCCCCACACGGTCCCCACTGCACCACAACAAGAAACCTGTACCTGTACTGCAAAAAGAGATTTGATGGCTTTTCGGGTCGTACACCTTGCGTCGTACATCCTTGTGTGCCAATTCGCCTCCTCCTGCCGCCGCGTATATAGACGGCCATGTACATCAAGGCTATAGCTGTCGTACTCGGCAGTAGCCTTCTTAAACTACTGCTACATGCTACCTATACAGCGGGCTGAACATCCAGCTTCCAGCTATCTTCTTCTCCTCCACTTCCTCCTCCTCTTCCAGGCTTCTCTATTACAGATTTGTGTGCGCCCCCTCTTCCTCCTCCTCCTCCTCCTTTTCCTCCTCCTCCTCCTCCTCCTCCATAATTAGCACCACCATCGTCAACATTCTCTATCCCCAGTTCACTTCCTTCACCAACACACTAAAGCTACTCACTGTACGACAACTCCCGTACTACTCGATGTACGGCTGCCATCTGCTCTTTCGGATATCTTTGAGCAGCATTTTTATGAAGAAGCCTGTTTCCTCGGGATTGGCTACCCACAGCACCGAGCAGATGTCCCTGGTGGCGACGTCATTGCCGCTATCGGTGAAGCGGTCGCCCACATGCAAGACCTGACGATGGGGGGATGGGGAGGAAGAGGGAAGGAGGGGAACATAAACTCGACGTGATAAACACATTCATTCAAACACACGATCTAGTATATGTAACGCAATATTAATATAAAATAATATATAATATGTATATAAAAAATATATGTTACGTTATATTATACATGCTCCAATCGGTCCGTCGCCTCGCTTTACCCTCACGGCGGCTGTTGTAAACGTATCTACGTACGCAAAAACATACAGAAGATGCATTAACACAGGAGACACACACACACACACAGAAGGCACGACCATACATAGACGAAGCACACAAACATACAGACACATGTTCCCCTCCGCCAAGAACGCGCCAAAAAGCTTTTCAGTGAGGATAAAGAATTTCCTCCCCCCTTCCCCTCCCCCTTCCCCGTTCCCCCCCCTCACCTCCGGCGGCGTGACCTTCAGGTATCTGGTGAGGGCCTCCAGTCCAAGCAGCTTGTTGCCCACATCCACGAACACGTCGTTACCGCCGTTGAAGGCGCAGAAAGGCACCTTGGCCACCAGCTGGGTCTGGATGGTGAGGGCGATGTCCTCAAGTACCTGTGGGAGGGGGGCATGTGGGGGATAAGGGGTATGTAGAGGTTGGAGACATTGGCATAATAGTAGCGGAGGAGGAGGAAGGTGGGGGGGAGAGAGCACGAAGAGACGGAGGCGTGTGGGTTTGTGTATTCATGGAAGGGGGGGGAGGGAGCGAGAGGAGGGAGGGTGGAAGAGGAGAGGCGGGGTGGAAAGCAGAGGGGGGCAGGTAGACAGCGGAGAAGGGGAGATGTACATGTGGAAAACCCTAAGGGCGGGATTTGGCACCCCCTTGAACCAGATGCCGTACCTCGTAAATGGTGGGCTGCGTGGGGACGATGCCCACTGCCCTGTTCTTCCGTATGATGTTGACCGCAAGATTGAGTCGCTTTGCGCCCTCCTGGAGTGCAGGAATTGGAGGTGAATTGGAGGTGAAAAGAGGACGTCAGATTGGGTTAGTGGGGGGTGCGAGGGTCGAGAGGAAACACAGTTTAACGCTTGAAGGCACTTCCTGTCTCGTCCGTCCTGTAAATGAGAAATAAGCTCAAATACATGTATGCTCAGGTTAGGCACTACTGATAAGGCACGGACCATTGCCTCCGGGAGATCCCGGGATCGAGACCTGTCAGGGTCGAAAATCCTTCCGATGGTGGAAGGTAAAATGCCCCTAGTCGATGGACGGTGGTGACCTGGGATATAGTTCACTCGCGAGCCGACCAGGAATGGAGTTGAGCCGCAGGTTCCATTAAATGCCGATGGTGGGTGCGGAACCTGAGCGATCCACTGAAAAGTTGACTAGGGTGACTGGATGAGGGTGCCTTGAATACCGGGGAAGGCAGGGTTTCGCAGGGTAGCTGCCACGGGTGAAGATATGCCCCCCTGTTTCACACAAAATATACACATATATACAATCTATATGTATATGTAGTACCATGTTCGTATCCTTAATCCCGCCATCCCCACGCATTCCCTCTTCAAACCCCAGACCACAAAACCAAAGAACCCGATGGCTACATATTATATTATTTTCGTCCACTGCTCCGGAAGCCGCCTTGCCTGCAGCATGGCCTCTCCCTCGTCCAGCAGCGCGGTGATGTCCTCCTCCCGCCAACTTTGCATGATGGGGGTCTTCCACTCGTTGTCCGGTACGAACTCCAGGCGCTTGTCGTACGGCCGTACTCGCAGCAAGTAATTGCACTCACCCCCCATGATGTGGAACCTGCTCCGGATAGGAGGAAAGGAGGAGATAAAGAAAGGAGGATATGAGGAAAGGTGGTAAGGAAAAGGATTCATGGGGTATATGGGATATGGGAGCATACTAACGGGAAAAACTGAAAAAACAGAAATTATAACGAAAACGAAAATGAGTAAAATGGACAAACACTTGACGAGCATTTAATGGGAACCTAGACACGTGCACATGTGTATGGTCCAGAGGGTTGGGCGTGCGTATCTCGTAAAGAGAGCAGGATGAACACGACAGGAAAAGGGGGGAAGGGGGAAGAGAAGGAAGGCAGGGATTTAAGGGAGGGCGGGAGAGGAAGGGAAGAAGCGGGTTAATCACAACACCCAAATACACATGCCGTACACAATCGCAGCACACGCACGTAACTTCACCTCCAGACTCCCCCCCTTCCACAGACACACGCATGGGCCAAAAACACACACACACACTCCCGCACTTTCCCCCCTTCCCTCTGCTCCCCCCCACACACGCACCTGTTAGTCACCTCGGGCGGCAGTTTTAGTTTCCTGAACGCCTCCAGCAGCCCCATCACGCGCTTCTCGAACTTCTCCGGCTCGCCGGGGTACCCCGCAGCTGTTACGATGGCAACCTGAAGAAACACAGAAAACAAACGAAAAAACCAGTCAACCGTTAACCGTCCATGATGAACCATCAACTGACCATCAAAAAGCACCCATCCAAATTCTCGCCTCGATATATTAAAAATCGTTATTCCATGGACGCCCGATCACCATAAAGAAGGAAATGGAAAATTGGTACGGCATCCCATTGTACGACAATCTGTACGATAATTTACCTGTACGTTGCTTCGCATGAGGTTGATGATATGCGCAATCATTTGATTATCCTGTTCCATGTGTGCTCCATCTGCATACAGAGTGCCGTCCGCGTCGAAGGTGATGAGCTTCAGCGTGTCGGCGCTTGCATGAACCTGGGGGGCCAGGTGGCCATGGTGCCGTTTTCGTGTGGAGAAAAAATTGGAGATAAACGTCAAAAAATACGTGGAAAGGTGTAAGAGCGAAGGACGTGGAAAAAGAGAAAAGGGAAAAAACCACACAAACTGAAAATCCATAACCAAGTTGGAAGTTTGAAGCCGTACATCCTAATAAGCCAAAATGAACCAACTAACAACCAACTAATTGTGAACCGCAGCACGTACCTGCGAAATGTTAACCACGTGACGAAGCTCAGCGAAGTTAGGCGGAATGTATTTGCGGCGCGATAACGCAAAGAACGCGTCGTACTCCCGAAACGCCTCTACCAGCTTCAGCGGAGTAAAGAAGATTCCGATACCCGGTATGAGACGTCGAAGACGCGAGCGCTTGGGATCCTGCGGGGGAGGGGGTGCGGGGGAGTGGACGGAGAGCGGCCATTGCCGTAGCGGCGGGAGATGTGACCCCGCAGTGCCAGACAGGAGAGGTGAAGGAAGACAGTTTTTTATTTTGAATTTTGAAAGGGGAAAATCCAGCTATCCAGAATCCAAGAATTATGTGACTTTTGGATCCGTGGCTGCAATAAGTGGCGGCGTTTTCTTCGATTTCTAATACGACGACGCGTGATAGATGATGATGATTCGTGGATTTCGTTCCTGCCAGCGACAGCTGCCTTCGCCGACGAGTGCTTCACTAAGTGCATACATACACACATGCATACACAATGTGGATACATACATACGTACGTACATACATACATTACATACATTATATACATATGTACAACCAGAAACCAACTCGAAAATGCAATGCTTAACGTACCTGCCGATGCTCAGCAATCCATCGCTCCATCTTCAGCATCACCTCCTCGCAGGTGTGCGTCTCATGCATGCGGCGCATGAAGTCAATCAAGCGATCCTGCAAAGGAGATTGGGGAAGGAATTGCCGGAGGATTGACTTTATACGACGAAGTACGGTCGCCGTACATTTCTAGGATAAAACCCTAAAACCCTAGGAACGAAATCCCAAAGTTGCTTCCCCTGGTGGCCACCTGTATATTCCTTTCTTCCCTGCTTTCCTGGCCCTCCGCATCCCACTTCGTAAAAAGCCCTTATCGGCAAACGCTCCTCTCCCCAATCCGCCAAAACCCAGAGCCCGTTCCCCCTCTCTCTTTCCCTCCCCGCGTAAGGCCCACATATTTTCAAGCACCTGCTCCTTGAGATGACCTTTTCGACGAAGTACGGCAGCATCACTCGCCGATCTAGCTCGTTGACTGAACACCTCTCCACTTTCCGCGGTGTTCAGCAGCTCCCAGTAACCTGTTTTAAAACGTTGGATTAACACATATACGGCTAGAATCCAAAATTCGAAAATCTTCACAAACGGAAACGAAGCAAAGTTTTCCACGTGTACAGAAACATTAATTCATCACGACATGAAAGGCAATGATATAAAAATCGTATAAATATAGATTTGTTGAACAGGGCAAGAATGTTTCAGCCTTCGCGGGTGACAAGTGCAGCAAGCCATGAATAGCACCAATGTAGTAGGGAAAACGGATTGTTTGGGGAACCAAGCGGAAGTGTTTCGCGCGCGGAAATGCCTGCTGGCTATGGTACGGAAATGTACGGATTTGTGTTTTTGTCCGTGTAATACATTGGAGTGCAACGGGAAGTGAGGCTAATGTGGACCGGGAAAGCTGGGGACAGGGATGGATAAGCGATTGGGGGGATTTGGGGGCCTGGCTGTCTGATTTGATGGATGGGATGTGGGGTGCCAGGACAACGTGTGTGTGCGCAACGGTATGCTTGCATATGCGCTGCGTCAGCGGCCTTGATGCCTTACCGAGGTTGACTTCCGCCACAGGCCCGCCTGCAGGAGCCGCGGTTGATGCGGCAGTTATACCGTTGCCACTCGTCGATGTAGTAGGAAAGTGAGGCACTGTGGCAGGGCCGGCCGAAGTGGAAGCCGCGCTCGCCAATGTCACATCGCGAGGCCGAAATGCTGGTGGACGAAGGACCGTCCCGCAAGCTCCGGTATGGGGACGGGTTACGATGACCGGCGTGTGGCAGAGCATTTGAGCAGTGCTGGAAACTATCGCGGAGCGTCGCAAGTCTCAAGACATTTAAGGAAGGCGGCTAGTTGTCTAGAAAAGTGCTCGATGAAATACGTTAAAGTCTTTACAGTAATTACAATCGGATTGAGACGGGAGCTGCAGAATCGAGGTTTGCTTGGGACTGTCGCAAGAGGCTGTCTCGCTTGCACAACCAAATTTGTCGCGTGTGGACTTTGAGGGAAAATCGGGACCCCCTTCGATGCACCATCTAGAGCTTCATACGTTCCAGATCGTGCTCTGGCGTGTTATACATGCAGGCGTGAACACGTTTTCGCATGGCGCTCCGGAACCATGGGCCAGTTCATAATGGACCACGGACATTGTTACTTAATAGTATAATATAATACTGTTGTTTTCCCGTTGTATCCGTTGAAATGCATCAGACAGAGTTCTCGTAAAAAAAATTGTTCCAGTAGGGTTATATTGCAAGTATCAGTAAGGCGAGGCTGACGCATACACAGCACGCAACAGCACAGGCAGGGAGTCAACATCAAGGCTTTACGATAGGTTTGCATATACTGGAAAGGTCAACGGTGTTCAGCTCCCAAGTACTAATTGTCGAACGACGACAATATAAACAGCGGAAGAACTGGTGGCCTCTTGGTACCCATAGACGTTCGCAAGAATTTCCTAAACCAACCTGTCTTAGTGACGACGCTTTAAACATCGACACGCGTCGAGCTCCACCGCGCGACATCGACCGCAGCGCGTGCAGAAGCTCCTCTGTGTCAACTCTTCCACCTTAATAGTTAGGAGAAATAAAGATTTGGTATATTTTACACTGCAACCGGAAGTAAACAGTCCTGCCCCCAAAACTAAACCATTTCCGAACATCCTCTTCACAACCCAAACGTGACGCTACACAACGCAAATCGCCGCCACGGCGGACGAGCCATCCCTCTTCCTATTGCTGCCTCCTCCTCCTCCTCAACATCCTGCACGCGCCCATTTGCTGCTCCTCCTCCTGCGCCCTCCCCCGCTATCCGCATAGTTTCATTCGCTTAGCTGTGTTCGCTTTGTGGCCAATTCCTCATTTCCCAGTTCACTCCCCCACATCGCGGAACAATTCGCTATTTAAAACTGAGGGCTATGCGACCTCTCAATTCTCCTGCACGAACAGCGCAATCTGCTTGGCTCCGTTGGCGACCGAAGACACCGTTTCCACACCACCCTCCTCGCCCTCACCACCACCCTCTCTGCCCAGAACCTGCACAAACAAGTAGTCGTCGGGACAGTTGCGACGTCTCAATCAGCGAAAAAAAGGCCTCAATGAAAAAACCCTAATTAGGAAAACCGCAAAAGCAAGCAGATAAGGAAATGATGTCCGAAGAGAAATAACAAGGAATGACGACATGCCAAGGAGCGCGAGAAGAAAAGAACCCTAAAGCCCCCGTAAAAAAAAAAACGATTCCACCCTTTTGGTAACCCCCCGTAAAAAAAACCCCGATTCCACCCTTTTGGTAACCCCCCATAAATAAAAAACCCGATTCCACCCTTTTGGTAAGCTGTTTCCTAATGAATGAATGTTCTGTAGAAGGCGCGTAAAATAAAATTTGAGCCGCCTGATGAAAAAAACGTTTAATGGGGGCGACGGGGGCTATGTGACGCAACACAAATGGATTGGTGGCCGTAACTAACAACCGTGTCGTACCAACCACCGTGAGGCAACAACGGTGAGGGCAAGGCAGCTCCAAAACCGTACCGCTCTAGGATGGGGTGCCCTGGGGCACATGGATTCCTCTGATGAGCCCCCACAGATCACCACCCCCTTGTTTCCATCCCATCATCAATCACCCCACTCTCCAACACACCTATCAATTGGGACGCCGGTATCAGTTCATTCTTTCCTTTCATTTTTTCCTCGAATTTAAAATTTCCCGTTTCCCGCCACTCTCCATGGTCAGCGGTCGGGGATGTTACATCAGGCTCTGGATTGCAGTCCCCACCGCCCCCCCCTTGAGGATCATGACCTTGGCCTACGATTTCCCCCAGGACCCCCACGTGGTGGTGGTGACAGACACACAGACGGACGTAGATACAGACAGCCGTAGATACAGATAGACTGACAGACAGACATAGGTTTACTCACCCTCCTTGGGTAGCTGTTCACCAGGCTCCACTGGCCGGGTTCCCAAAGGGGCAATGACTCCAGGGATTGGAGCCAGTCCCGAATCTGATAGCGGGAGATGGGTGGGGTGGGGTGGGGCGAGGCGGGGGGAAATACACATGCACGCAGCAAAGAGGGGTCAATCGGCGGAGATGTCCCAATCATGAGGAACGGTAAAACAGAGAAACTCCTCGTGAATACTTCACGCGTATGCTTGATCTTTTAAGCTCGCATGTATACCGCTACACCCTGCACCAAAGCTAATAGCCCGGGTTTGCCTCCTTGTACGGCATGGTACGGCACAGCGAACCTATTACATTGTTGTAATGGACACTTAAAAGTAAAATTTCTGCGCCATCACGGGGCTTTATATTGTCGTCCTGGCCGCCGTACCTGCCGTACGGGCGCCTCCGCAGTGAAGCGCCGGGTATGGCTACTGCCGTCCGGCAGCCGTACACGGACCAGTACCGCAGTCTCGTCCTCCCGGCTCGGCTCGTCCTGGAGCGATCGTACATCACATCATCACAACCGGTCATCACAAGTCGGCAGGAGGAGGTGCGAGAGCGGAGACGTGGGGCAGGCGGGTCAGTGACTCAGGCTTCAGGACAAAAAACTATTTTACAAAACTATTTTACAAAAAACTATTTTACAAAAATGTCGACATAGCAATAATACCACAACGATTGTATGATATTGTTGCTATACCATACAAAAGCTTTAGGATTGTAGGTTTTTTCTAAACCCCTATAACGACAATTGTGGGGTATGTGTTACCAGAGGTGGCCAAGCAGGATGGCTATGAAGTCATAAGCACCCATCCATCCATCCACGCCATATTCCACACACCCATATTCACATCCATCAATTACCCCCCCCGCCTCCCCGGCCACACACCGGTAACGACTCCCGCAACCTCCCCCGCAGCTCCACCAATCGCTTCTTCCGCTCCGCCTCCGCCGCCTCCGCCGCCTCCGCTGCCGCCTCCGCTGCCGCCTCCGCTGCCGCCGCCTCCGCCGCCCGCTGGCGATCCGCTTCGAGTGCCGCCTCGTACTCGGCATCCTGGAAGTGTGACATAGTGACGTAGCGTACGGCACACAACAAAGACTGGTACAGAATCCGGTCGTACACACGCCGTACACACGCCGTGTAATACGCTTTTCGGATCGACGATTTAGACATGTAATGCTCTGATGCGCTTGTAAATACGCAACAATTCAAACACGTACCAGCATATCCTTGCTATTTCTTTTCATGGCGAAGATAACAGCACGTGGCAGCCGTACGAACCTGCACACATGACAATGTACCCGGTCTCCCCTCCCAAGCGGGGCCAGTTCTGCACAGTCCCACACAGTACGTCCATGCGTACACCCTTGCCACCCTCCCTCCCTTCCCCCCTCCCCCCCTCCCTCCCTCCCCCCCTCCCTCCCTCCCCCCCTCCCCCCCTCCCTCCCTCCCCCCC